GATCAACCTGAACAAATCAGCTGTTTTTGTTTTCTTCGTTTATCAATGAGGAGGGTACATATATGACCCCGCTTACACTACGCTGGAGGAATTTGAAAATGCAGCTTTACTTACACGGTTAGGCCTACCGTGTACACTAACCCGTCACGAAAACGGAGCTTATCGAAAACGCCGCAGTTTCAAGCCGGAGGAACTTGAAAACGTGGGCTTTTCGTTTTCGCGTGAACAGAAAACATTTTAAAAACGGAGCTTTCTGAAAACGATGACCTGTCCGAGTTTTTTCAAACACAAATCCAAAATGACCGGTGATTGTTGCGTTTTTAAATTTCTCCGGCGTAGTGTAGACGGAAATCATTGGATGCATTTTCAGAGCGAAACCTCCGTTCAGTCCAAATTCCTCCGGCGTATGGGCATAAAACAGTCCTCAGTGATCAATACTTGATCCATTTGGGAACAGCCTTGTAAATGTTATACCGATACTGCGCGGACGAAGGTCCCTCGGAATACCCCTATTCTACGGAAATTAAACATTCACGAAGGCTATCACCGCATTAGTACCCGTGGGGTAAATAAGGACGTTTGGGGATTGGTCTCGAACATGTAACTGTTCATTAAAACGTCAATGACTTCAGCGAAGACGTCAGTTTATAAACCACAAACGGTCTTTGTGAGCCTATCAAAAACACTTACCTAGCTATTTGTCAACTTGAACTTAGTTACGCAGCCCTTTCGAGAAGTATACTATGGAATATATGTATCCCACGAGTCACTTGTATTTTCTCGGTAATAAATGAGCCTTTAGGCAAGTGCGTATACCAAGAAAATACAAGTGACAAGAGAGTTATTTCATGGTATTCCACGAAAGAGCGTTGNTTGTTTGTTTGTTTGTTTTTTCATCATGTACCTGTCAAACAGCGGTTTGGTGTTGGATCAACCTGAACAAATCAGCTGTTTTTGTTTTCTTCGTTTATCAATGAGGAGGGTACATATATGGCCCCGCTTACACTACGCTGGAGGAATTTGAAAATGCAGCTTTACTTACACAGTTAGGCCTACCGTGTACACTAACCCGTCACGAAAACGGAGCTTATCGAAAACGCCGCAGTTTCAAACCGGAGGAACTTGAAAACGTGGGCTTTTCGTTTTCGCGTGAACAGAAAACATTTTAAAAACGGAGCTTTCTGAAAACGATGACCTGTCCGAGTTTTTTCAAACACAAATCCAAAATGATCGGTGATTGTTGCGTTTTTAAATTTCTCCGGCGTAGTGTGGACGGAAATCATTGGATGCATTTTCAGAGCGAAACCTCCGTTCAGTTCAAATTCCTCCGGCGTATGGGCATAAAGCAGTCCTCGGTGATCAATACTTGATCCGTTTGGGAACAGCCTTGTAAATGTTATACTGCGCGGACGAAGGTCCCTCGGAATACTCCTATTCTACGGAAATTAAACATTCACGAAGGCTCTCATCGCATTAGTACCCGTGGGGTAAATAAGGACGTTTTGGGGATTGGTCCCGAACATGTAAGTGTTCATTAAAACGTCAATGACTTCAGCGAAGACGTCAGTTTATAAACCACAAACGGT